AGCCAAAGGAAATGTGCATCTGGGAGGACTTGAAATGAAGGCATCCCTTCCTTGAGCTGTTGCCTGACAGCTGTTTAACTGGAGGTCTAGCTATCTAAATCTCATCTGTCTGACTCTACTGATGCCAGTTTATGGTAGCGGACAGCATGCCCATGAGCCTCCAAAAACGTTCAGCTGTCCCACAGGAGGTCTGATATTAACACTGATAGGGAAAGGATGCTCCCCTGGCATCCTCATGACTCTAACTATGGTACTTGGATGTTAGGACATGCTCCTGCAGCAGTGGCGTGCACAAACTTACCTCCTTTGGGGTTTTTGAGTCCTCCAGCAGAGAGCTGTGGTTACCATCAGTACAGAAGAGTCCCATTAACTACATATTACTCAGGGCCTTTATACAGTGTTTGTCTAATGGGAGAAAGTTTGCACAGCTTGTGGAGAGGGATTTTAATAGTAAATTAAGTCCCTGTTTCTTCTTCATCCCAATGCACAGTTGCCAGGTCTCTCACCCTTTGGTTTCTTTCCCTTTCTGGCTGTAGCAACACCTATAAAAGTCTAGAAGACTCTGCTACAAACCACTTTCTGTCCATTATGATGAGAGAGAAGTGTGTTGAGTGCAATGCTCACTTTGAGGATTTTTAAGATTGTCACTGATCCTCCCTGATGGTAAATTGGCATATTGTGCTTTAGAAATGCAGTGATGAGCAGTGGAAGCTGGCAGCAGCTCTGTGCCTGCTCTGGCCAGAGAAACCCTGGTTTGCCGGGGCTCCACTAGCAGGAGGGATAGCACTGTGTTCGAACCCCCCATCTGCAAGCCAAGAGGATGCAATGATAGAAGTCACCCCATTGCATCCAGGGAAATGCCACCACGTTGATTTTGCCAGCCTTAAGGGCAGGAACATAAAATTGAATCTTTATACCCTGATAGTGCTGTAACTAGTGGCCCTATGCATAACTTTACAGGGCTCTAAACAACCAGGCTATAATTGACCACTACAATTGTAATTAAATCTGGGTTCTGCATTCACAGACCACTGGGTTGTATGCGTGTCTGTGTTTCAGTTTCTGGGGTGGAGCCCTTGCTGCCTTCATTTTTCTGTTGGATTTTTTTTCCCCATGAAAAAAGGCTCATTTTCTCCCCAGAATGGAATGAGCCCAAATGGCCAAACCTCAGCATTTTTCACAAAGTGTAAGCCTTGTTTTGCAGCCAGCCAGAGAGGGAGTGGGGCTCGAGCTGGATGTGCGGGTGGCTGTGGAGGCAGGTGAATGTACTTGGAGAGTCTGCATATGCATAGCAGGTGCACAGAAGTGTGAAGAGAGGGAAAGCGTGGATGTCACAGGGTTGGATGTACGATACGCTTGCGTGTATGTGCCGGAGTGCATACACACATGCATGCCTATATAGATACATATTCATTTTTGTGAGTATCTGCCTGAGAGGAGCCTGAGCCTGCAGGTCTATGCAGAATTGTGTATGCAGAGTTCTCCCTGGCTCCTCCGTCAGTTGAGAGACTTGGCAGGAGAATGGGGACAGTCACTGAAAAGCCCCATTTTCTGTGGTGAGTTTGCCTGGGGGACTGGGCTGTGCACTGTTTCTGAGCCTCCCCCTTGTACCTGCTCTCAGATCCTGTTTCGCTTTATAACTTTCTTCATATTTGATATTTCTTGCTCTCCCTCTCGCTGGCTTCTTTTCTGTTATTCCTTCTTCTCACGTTTCCTCCCTCTGCCACTTTTAAAATGTTGTTCTCTCTCCTTTTCATTTCTCCCTTCTGTTCCTCCTCTCCTGGTCTCTCCTGTTATTTCTCCCACACTGGCATCTTCTCCTTTGCCTCCCTCCGTTCCCCCACCCTTGCTCTCCATCCTGCCTCTTTTCCTCCCTCTCCCATCTCACATGCTTTTGTTTTCCCTTCCCTCTCCCCCTCTGCTCGGCCTCTCTCCCCTCTTCTCTCCCTCCCGCTTCCTCACTCCCTTCTCTCTCTGAAATAAACTTCCCCGTGTGAAGCTCCTGGCCACCTTCCAGCCTCTGGTGAGATGAAGGGTTCCCTGGCATACACTCAGCTCTGCACTCCATAGGGCATTGTAACCACTGGTACCAAGGCTATAAAATCTTTAGTGTCTCTAGGAAAGATGACTGTAAATTCTTCAGAAGTCCCGCCATGGGTGTAAAGATTCCCCCCTACCTCTCCTTTCCTTCCCCGGGCCTCTGTGAAAGGGGCTATGTAGTAAAATAAGGGGCTCACTCCTCCCCTTGGCTAAAGCCCCAGCTCTGATCAGGATTTCAGCAGAGCATGGCTCTCCCCATTGACTTCAAGAAGAGGTTTCAGTAGCCTGCCGAGCGGAGAAGCAGTTCTTGCCGCTCTTTTGGTCACTTAGGTATTTGACTTTATAAACATGATTAAAAAATGCTAAGAAAGCGCTGAAGAGAGGGAGGCCTCCCCTCTAAATGTTGAGCAAACAGCAACACACGAGGCATTGTTAGGTTCTGAAAGATGAACCAGCCTCGGACCAGTAAGGGAGTGTGGGGAAAGCAGGCTGTGCATTAAAAATAGGTTAATTCTCATATACTGCAGCTTTGCTCGAAGGTCCTGAAGGGTGGTTTAGGATTTTTTGAACTGATTTCCAACCTGATGAATGCCAAGCAGAGCTTCTCAGGGGCATTCAGCAGGGAATTAACCAAGGGTCTGTAGAGACAGCTTTTGGCCCCCAGGACGTGTGCTTAGCAAGAGTCAGACCTGGTTACTGTCAGGCTGCTGAGTAGATGGGACTCAGACGTGCACAAAGAACAGAACGGGCCATAACACCACTTTTTATCTAACGCATTAATTTTTTGGCGCTTGGCATGGGAAGAGAGAGCACACAGCTCCCACGTGATGAGCCATATGTCCAAAGCTTTTCGGTACTGCCACAAGCCTGACAGGGCTCCCACACCACACACGAACACATGATGGGCTCCCATCCCATGCTCCCAGTCACCGCCAGCCCCAGAGCATGACATCCAACTGGGGCTGCCATAAGGACCAGGAGCAGCAGAGACACCACATTGGCTGTGGATGACCCACAGGACACAGCAACCCCAGCAGAAGGGAGCCTAAAGTGTCTGCATAATTCTGATTTTCAGTGTGAAAGACTTGACAGGCTTGCAAACAGTGGGCCCATCCTTCCTAATGGGTTGCACTTTGGCATGTGGCAGGGGTGGTAAATTCCCTGTGGCTTCCAAGTTGGTGCTGGAGCTAATGAACCCAACTTTGCCTCATCTAGAGGATGACACAAGTTCCTTTTGCGAAGTATGGGACAAGAAATTTAGGGTATTCAGTCGCTGTGCATAGTGCAGACTGACACTGCTTGTTATGAAGGGGAAGCACCAAGGGGAAATGGGGGTGCTGTGCTGTTAGTCTGGCAGGATGGCGTGTGTATAGTGCCCAGGACTACAGTGGAGGCAAAGGGAACATGGGCTGCAGGAAGAGCCTTTGACAAAATTGCATCTGTGAAAACTAGTGGAGGATTTTGTAGGTAAAGGCGGCTGTGAAGCTGGCAGAGCCTTGTGGAAGGCCATCCAAAGCACCTGGCTCTTTGGTTATCGTTTGAATAGCAGATTTGCCCTAAATGGAGGAAAGCATTGAGTAGAAGTTGCATGGCTCTTTTGTTCTGCTTCTCCTTTTCACTTCCCCTTGCCAAGACCTGCTCTCCAGTGTTCCTGCTGAAGAACTGCAAAGCCATTCCCTACCTCCTCACTTAACTGCAAACAGTTACAGACAGCTCTTTTCATCTTCCTTTGCAGCCTCCTCCTCTCAGGGTGCTATAAGCAGAGCCAAGCTACCTCTCCAGTTAATGCTACCTCCACAGCCTCTTCCGAGCTTTTGGTGTTTCTGACCTCTTGTTTCCCTGGGATCGCAGAGATCAGCTCCATGAGGTCAGTTCCAGCACTCCACTGATATGCCATTTCCTCCAGCCCCACCAAAACCTGGTGTGCTCAGCCCACTGTACAGCAGTGGACATGGATGTGACCCTTGTGTACAGCTCTGGTGATCCACTGTCTGGGCACAATAATAGAGATCATAAGACCTAGGCTTTATTCCCTTCTATGCCACTTTTTAGAGGGTGATGCTTTGGACTGAGACACATTTTCATCCGTGCCTCAGTTTCCCCAAGCATAAAGTAGGATTACATACTCTGACTGCTTTTGACAACTGATCTCACAATTAGCACTCTACTGATGCATATCTGCTGGCCTTCTTCTGTGCATGACCTCCTGTATTTTGAAGCTGAAATGTCCAGGTCTGAAAAGCCCTAGGTGTGATGAGCCAAGACAAAGAGGGAAAGGTGTACACCTGGGTGTTTGTACCAGTATTGTTCTCTGGCTTAGCAAAGCCAGGGGGTTGCATGTCCTCTTTCCTATGGGGTGTCATCGAGTGGTGCCCCCACCCGTTCCATGCTGCCTTTTATAGACACTGCCAGTGTGACGTCTGGGAAGGGCCAGAACAGACATAAACCTCCAGCAACAGGGTGGCTGGCCTGAGGGATGCACCAGCCAGTCTGAAGCCTTGGCTGGTTGGTGAGACCCTGCACAAAGCTAAGACAACTGTCCCTTGGGTGGGGGCACTCGTGGCTAGGATCAGAGCACCAGCTAAGCAGTAAGACAAAGGGAGATGGCCATGAAGGAGAGAAGGGGTCACAGAGCCAGGAGAAGAGTGGGGTAACAGCCCCAGGGTGATACGTGGGGTGACAACCTTCAGGCTGGGTGCAGCCCCATGAGGGGATTGAAGTGGGCAGGGAGGTGCTGAGAGACCCCCCTGGGGACCAGCAACAGCTCTGCCCTGCTGTTTGACGCAGGACGTGTGCTGAGCTAGGCGGTGCTAATGGGGGAGGAAAGGAGGTGCTGCAGGTTACACCCTATTTCACCCTTCCAGCAAATCCATCCCTCAGGTTCGCTCCAAACACCCCCCCCCCCCGGCCTTGCTGGATAGTTTGAGCATGTAGGGAGAAGGTGCAGGAGCTGGGGGGATTCAGGTGGCGGCATTTGTTCTGTGTCCTCCTGGTGGCCCTGAAACCTTCCAAACTTCATTTTTCAATAGGCCACCAAAACAGCCACTAGATGTTTAATGACTTTCGATCTCTCCTGCCCCAGACTGGCTTTGAAACAGTGACTCAGATGCCAAAGTCCCAGTAGCGAAGTGGCTTTTTAATGACACGACTTGAGCTCAAATTCCAGGCACAGGGGGAGGCTTTGACACTGCTGTTTGTTTTCTTATTGGAGAAGTTCAAGAGAAGCTCAAGGCTTAAAAGCAAACCCTTGAAAGCAAAGCATTCCTAATCACATAAAAGTGTCTGCGCAGGCCAGGGCTGAAGAGGGGCTTGTGACTTTAATCTTTGCATATCCCTTTCTTTCTTCAAGCATCTCTCCCTCTCAGAGACGGGGACACACACACGCACACACAAAACTCTCCCCAGTGCCAATAGCATAATGCTCCAGAAGAGGAAAGTGGAGGAAGAGGAGGAGGAGGAAGCCGGCCCGCCTGCCTGCCCCCATGCTGAGCCCGAGCAGACGTTGTGAGAAAGCTTCTATCCATCTGCAGCCCAGCCCGGTGGGAGTCAATTAATTCTGAATAACCTAAACCGACAGAGGTATTTGCATTCACAACCTGACTGATGACCGTATAAAATTGATTTATGAATTGAAGTACTTTCCCTCCCCTTATCCCCAATTCAAGCCATAATTGATTATACGTGCTGCAGCGAAATTAAAGAAAAGAAAATTAAAAAAAGAAAAGAAAAAAGGGAGGCCCCACAGATGCTGCTCTATATTCTCAAGGTTTCCCGGGATTAGCCGATCTATTCATCACTTATTTTGGTTTTTATTTAAAAAGTTGCTTCCTTTCCCCTCTCCACCAACTTCCCCCCACCTTCGTCCCCATCCCTTGCCACCACCACTCAACCCAGCCACAGTGGGTCATACCTCATGAGAGGGGACGGGAGGCACAGCAACCCCCCAGCAACATTCCCACAGTGCGACGGCGAGGAGACCTCGAGCCTGACACCCTTCCTCCCAGGGCAGAACAGACCCCTCCTAAAGGGCAGGGAGCCTAAACTGGAAGTCCTCAACCCAGCTCACGCTTAACTGGCTGCCTTGTAACTGCCCCACTGTAGAGCTTTACGAAGTGGAGAATTCACTTGGCCCTTCCAACTGGTCATCTCTAGAGAGATGACGCTTTCTCATCATATTCATACAATGTTCATACAATGCTTTCTGCTTACCTAGGGACAAGGGCTGTGGAAAGCAGGTACTTTTGGACAAGATCCACTTGCCCAATGCCAATAGGAAGTGCAGGAAATGTTGCTGGAAGCAGTTGAATGATACAACTGCAGATTTCCTCATGGAACTTAATGTATAAATATTGATCTGAATCCTGAAGCCTGAGAATTGATGACCCTTTTATTCTTTATTTTTTAACTCATTATCCTCCTACTCCTCTCTACCTGTCCTCCCTTTTTCTTGTCTATTCATTGTTTTTCTTTCCATTTACATATGGGAATACAGAGCAGATCAGTGATAGGAACAGGAAAGATTCCATATCAAATCACAGTCGCAATTCAGCTAATCCATGGGACAGTCTCAGGTAGAACACAGGTCACCGTTAGTCTGGCTCTCTTTTCTCTCTGCATCTCTCTTAACACAGCCCCCACTCCTTTTTTTTTTTTTTAATAAGGAAAGGGTATGTCCTCTTTTTTCCTTTCACTGGAGTGGGAAGAGGCAAACAAAACCCTGGACAAAGCTCATCTCCCATATGATTTCATTAAAAACCGTTTGCCTGCAGTGCTTTGTAAGGGTCACAGACCTCTTGAGCATGTAGGTCCAACTTCATATCACTTTGTGCAGTTGCAATGTTTCATGGTTCCTTTTATGTTAAAGAAAACCATAGCACAGGAAAGTATTTAAACCAAATCTTTCAAGCAGCTGGCCACAGGACAGCAATGTCATCAGTGTGCCACTTCCAATGAATCAAGAAAAACCACGATCTCAGTGAAACAAGGCAGGGATTTTTAGCTCTCCCATTCCTGGTGTTCACAGGTCCAATGGGGAAAGCTCATTTATTTCAACCTCCTCAAAGTTGTCATGCTCGATTTGGATAATGCTGAGCAGAGGAAAAGAGCTCAATGAATAAACATCAAATGAGACCACTTCCCTTTACTGTTCAGTGAGGCTTTCAAGCAAGAAGCCTGTCCAGAGACTTTAGCCTGGTAGCAGTAGTGCCAGGCATGGGGTTTAAGAAGAAACTACTTTGCTTGCAGCTAATGGGCTTTAAAAGGATGAAGAAGGGGCAGGCAGGGAGGCAGTGCTGTGTGCAGGGATCCAGCTGTGTCCCCTCTGCTGCAGCTGCTTCCCTGCCCCTCACGTCCCTGCACCTCATGCCTTTGTCCTGCACTGGGACAACTTCACTGGAAGTTCAGTTTTGCAGGTGTCTGAACTCATTGTGCTGGGGATAAGTGGAAGGCTGGGGGAAGGGAGCCTCTGCCTGTGTAGTTAAAGGCAAAAGCCCTACGTGGTCCTAGAAAGCTGAATGTTAACTGGCAGCTCACGTCTCTCATAGAGGCTCTGGGCTGAGCCTGGAGGTATGCATAAGGCTGCAGAGCAGGATCTGGGAGATACTACCAAAAATCACAGTGACCCAGGAGGCAAAGTCAGATTCCATACAGAATAAAGCTTGCTTCAGAGCAAATAATGCCTTTGTAATTTAGCCTGGGACATCACCTGGGAAAGAGCTGTGTGTCTCTCTCAGAAGTCTACAGGGCCCTCCTGGAAAATGGTGCAGTGGCCATACCTGTCAGGTGCACAGCTGGGCTCTGTGATGGTCTCTGGCCCCCTCCCAGCTGCAAGGCTTGTCAGAGACAACAGATCAGGGAGGATCTGTTTCAACATGAGGTAACATTAGGACCAAATGCATTGCTCTGACTCTGGAGGAGCCCCCCAAACCCTAAGATGAACAAGCCTCCCATTTCAAACAGGGCAGTGTATGTGGGCTGGGCCCATACACAAGCTTCTGCTTTCTCACCAAGAATGCCTGCCCCAATTCAGTTAATGAATAAAGACTGTGGCTTTAGGAGGTGACAGCAGGCAGTCCATCCTGAGCCAGCAGACACCCAAAAGGTGCAGGCTACATCTATGCTCATGTCACCTGGTAGCTGGAGACCAAAATCTGTGTTTTTTGCATCCTAGGCTAAGGTGCTGAGCTTTGGGATGGGGAGCTGACAGCACAGGGTGAAGGAGTGCAGCAGTCCTGGCAGAGGAGGGCACTGCCTGGTACCCCCATCCATCCAGCTCCCTCCCGCCTCCACTACAAGGAGCCTTGCAGATGTCAGCCCTGACAAAAGCACACAAGCGGGAGAGACGTCAGCACAGATTTACATCCAAAGGTCGCCATGTCCTAAGTGGTAAACGGGTGGACAAAGAAGTTAATCAAGGAGTCAAAAAGGGCAACCTGAAGAGGAGAGGCAGCTGGGAGTGTGGAAGCAGAAATCAAGGCAATTAGCAGGAAAAAAGAGGGAGAGTTTTGCATGCCTTTCCGATTTTTCCACATGGAAAGAACAGCACCTTATTATCTAAAACTGAATTATTTTTACTGCCAGCCGAAAGAGAGCAAACAGGAGGCTTGAACTGATGCCTCCACCAGCAGTTACAGCCTGTTGTTCTTCCCACAGGAACCAGTGACCCTTCTGTAGACAAAACGGCTGCCAGTGCAGCTCCCTGTCATTACAGAGCTTGCAGGGTGAAAGCAGTGCCATCCCTGCTCATGCCTGCACAGGCAGGCGCTGCTATTAAAATCTGCTGTGGCAATGTGTGGGAGCACCCATCAGAAAATTGGTATTGATCCTCTTCAGGGTGCACTACAAACATGGAGCTTAAAGGTGCTGCCCAGAGCTCACAGTGCAACTATCACAAGTGGCAACAGGTCACTGCAGCCTGTGGCCAGGCAGGCATTTCTGAACCATTGTTCAGGGTACAGACTAAGGTCATGTTCCTTTTTAAGCTGAGTCAATCTTTTTACTGAGTTCATTGGCAGCCCAGGCTGAAGCCAGCGACTGCTAGATGGACCAAGCACCATTTTTCAGAGCTTGAAACTTGTACCATCCATGTCCCTAAAACCAAACCAGAAATCAAGTTTAAATAATATTAATAAATATACTTCTTTTTTGCTTTTCTCTACTTCTTAAAAAAAACAACCAACCCAGCACCAAACATGAGGAAGTGCTTTTCGAAGCAGCAGGATCTGTTAGGTAAGGTATTCTCCTTTTTTAACAGCACAAATTAACCAGCCACCTTCTAATAGCATTAACTCACACCAGCAGTGACACTAGTCAGCCACCAGATGGGTACCAGCGGGGCCGGCTGCCCTGAGCTGTGCCCACCAGGGCTTGCCCTGCTCTCTGCATTTAGCATGCCCACTCTGGCTTCACGGGGAAACCTCAACAGACACACGATGCATAGGAGCTGGATTGTCACAGTGACCTTTGCCAAGCAAAAACCTGTTTAATGTCTCTGGGAAAGACAGCTCCTGTTTTGCAGAAATGTAAATCTCTGAGGCAACAGAAAGAATGAGGACTTTCTGCCTCACCCACAGCGGTTGGGGATGTAGATACTTCCAACTTGAACTGGGAGGTAGGTTGGTACCTCTCTCTATTAGCCAAGAGAGGCAATTAGCCTTGCTTGGCAAGCAGATCTCTGAAGATCTGGACTTCCATGCTTTATTACCACACATAGGAGGTGGCAAAAATACAGCATCTACTAAAATGAGGCAAATGCAGAATAAAAACATGCACTTTGCCAAATGCCGAGAGACTCTTGACTGATCAAGCTCATCCACCCATTGTTTTTTTGCATAGGGTCTACTTGAAATCCACAGACAAGAAACTGTGACAAAAAAAAGTGGCTACTGGTCAGATACAAGTAATTTAGCTCAATATAAGGGTAACTGGGTGCCATCCCAGGGTCTGTATAACACAAAAGATCAGGATAGCTGGTCTAATGATCTCTTTTGGTCTTCAAACCTATGAACTGATGCCCATCTTTCCCTCATTTTCTCTCAAAAGCTGGGTTGCAGATAAGGTCTAAAATATAAGTGTCCCATGTTGCCAGTACCATTGTGCTGGGCACGTTTGGTAGACGCCCCCTTGCCCAGCTGCCTCAGGAGCTGTTTTTAATACACTTGTCCCAGTTTGATTGCTTCTGTTATTAAATTCCACAGTGACAGACCCGGGAGAAATGCAAGAGGTTTCTTCTTTCTTTCCAGCTGTAAATGTGCGAATACTTTTATCACAGATTGTCTTTTTAAATGTCACAGACAATGAGGCATTTTTGCATAAGTAAAGCCAAAAGCATAAAAATGTCTCCTGGCCACTATTTTGTCTGTGATGCTGGTACATATTTGTTCAACTGGCTTTGGAACAACGACAAAGATCCAGCCCTTCCTTTGGTACGTGTCTGAACGTCCTCAGGAAGGAGTAAGGTGACTGTAGAGACAATGCTGGCAGGTTACACCTGGGAGGGGAGACTTTCTTTGCCCATTTCCCAAGCCCAGAAAAAGCACAGTGGGGGTTTTGTTTCTCGAAGCTGAAGCTCGGCGGTGGAGCTGGCAGGTCGTATTTTACAGCTGGGGCCAGGGCAGGATGAAAAACAGAGAGTTAGTTTCTCGACGGCCCTGGCTTTACACCGAAATCCTACTTCACTCCTTCGGGGAGGCACCAACAGCCTCTGAGCATGCAGAGAGCTTGCTCATCGCGCTGTTTACAGCTTTTTCTCCCCCCCTTCCCTTTTCTTTGGGGTAAACTCACTTCTCCTCGGAGGCTTCTCCCTCCATCTCCCCCCGCCGCCCTGCTCAGCATCCCCTCACCTCCACCACAAAACCGCCACACACACTCACGCACACACTCGCGGGCAGGCACAAAGGCTTTAAAAGCCGCCCTTTATGTCCCCCCACAGCTGCCCGCGCAGCCCCTGCTCCAGCGCTCGCCCAGCAAGGACGCGTATTCTTCGGCTCCCAAAGGCCCCCATTGCTGTCAATTAGTTACGGGACGCCACTGGGATTCAAGGCTGACAGCTCCGGCAAAGCAGGAGAAATGGGCTCAGTGGGGAGCGAAGGGGCCTGCCCTCTTTCTACCCCCCCCCCCCCCCCCGTCTTTCTCCCCACAAGAAATACCTTTCTCAGCGAAGCTTTCTAAGGCCCCCCCTCCATCCCTCTGCTTGCGCATGCACACAGAGACATGCACATAGAGGGATGCACGGCGCTGAGAGATGTGAAACATGCTGCGAAAGGGGCCACCGAGATAGGGGGTCATCAATATCTCTGCGTGTTCCTTTCTTTCCCCCCGCCCTCCACTCTGGTCTCTGCTTACAAATCCCCCTGTCTCTCAGCTTCCCAGGATGAGCGTAACGTCTTATTTCTCCCTGACTTTCCCACCCAGGCTGGCTTTTGGAAGGGGAGGGATGGGGTGAGGTTAAAACACGACTCTGCAACAAGTGTGGTTTCATGCAATGGTGTTTTAACTGCCGCTGCCAGGCACTCACATCCCTCCTCTCTGCATGCAACCTGGATTTTAACATGGCAAGGTTGCAGAGAAGAGGGGAGTAAAGCTGGGAGGGGAATGCTGACCCGGTGATTTCATGGCAAATGTTGGTGCTATGGGATTTAGGAAAGAAACAAAGGCTGTAATGGTTTGGGAATGAGAGACTTCTTTAGCCAGACCATGGAAATAAGATACATTTTAAGAGAAGGCATTCCCACACTTTCAGCCCTGATATTTGGCATAGAAGGAAATCCAACCCAGGCATGGGCTTTGGTGATCTGAAACAGGATGCATTTCATGTGAACCCTTGCTTTGGCTCCTGTCATAAATGCCAGCTAGAAATAGGGCTTGCTCACCCTAGTTCAATGTCTGTATTTGTGTCTTTCCTTGACACTTGGATAGTATGGAGGCTCTTACGCCAGCTGTGTATTTGGCCCACCCAAAGTAGTCTCTGTGGATCAAAGAGGGATAACAAAACAGTATGTAATTTCCCCCCCCCCCCTTGTCTCTACCACATGCTGTTTGTGTGTCCGTTTTCCAGTCACTTCATCAAGCACCCATCCGAGCCAGAGTAGCTTCACTTACTGGTCCATCCCTTTATCTCCCGCCTGGAGGCACAACTAAGGCAGGGTGACTGCATTTCACATGCCTTCTTGGTCTCAAATCCTTTCATCTGAAACACTTGAAGATAAGAGCATCTCAGATTCAATTTCTTGGATCAAAATCCTCCCCTGAAATTTGGATCCTGACTGGACCCAACCCAGAAAATGAGCAGTCTTTTGGTTTGGCTGCACTGAAGCCTCCAGCTCAAGCCACATGGCAGAGTCTTGCATAAACAGCTCATCTCAAGAGACTTCTGCTTCCTGGAGAGATGAAATCTTTCAGAAACAGCATAAGAAGAGATTTCAAGTCCCTAGGAAAAAAATTCCTCCCCTCTGCTCCCACCCACAGCTTGGCATTGACATGGAACCATGGACCCCTGCCTAATTCAAAATCAGATTTAGACAAGCTCTGGGCTATTACAGTGGGAATGAGAAACCTTCACTTGGAGTGAAAAAACCCATGGACATCCATAAAGGCTGTCAAAGGATGTTGGGGGAGTTGTGCATGGTTTGAATTGGGTGTGCACTATTCTTTACAAGCCGTGGGTGCTGGGGAGCAGGCAAGGCAGCAATAAGACTCAGTATTACAAAGGGCAGATGTAGTAAATAGTTCACAAGAGAGGCTGACAGCCTTCCCAGGCCACTGGAGAAATAACTTGTCCAAGGAATGGCTTCTAAATGAAACAGCCTCCGCACAGTTTCTTCATCAGGACAAAAGATGGGTTTATTTTGGACATGCTAGTAAAATTGCTGTCTGCGAGCTGTAAGGTCACACAGCTAAGGTCTGGCTGATGTCTGGTGAGGAAGCGTTCCTCTGGGCCTCCACTCTCCGTGAGTAAATGCAGGCCTTGTAAAAAGGGATAACGTATTCACCATTTCCCTACAGAGCAGTACTGCAAAGAGTGAATCACTTGCAATGAGTTCAAATCTACTAAGCATTCTTCACATAAGAGAGCCCTTGGTAACAAAATGCTCTGGATCCTGAACAAGGGATTGGTGATGGACAAGGATTTGTCAGATGATGGCACATGTATGAAATGCACTGATCACTTTTCATGTTATTTCCTTGTGCACAGCAAGGCAGAAGAAACCTGTTATCATGACAGGCAACAGCTGGCTGCCTCATTGGTAGATCATTAAAAAAAAAGGCTTGAAAATATTAACTGTCTTTTCCCCTCTTTTGACAGGATTCTTATCCATGTTGCTGCTGCTGGTACATTACATGTTTTACAGCCAACCTGAGAAGTCACTGGCTTCCAGAGCCATTAATCTAGAGCTTCTCACTTTTGTTTCATTCATACAACAACGTACAAGGATCACCTATTGCTGTTTAGAAATATCTCTGAAAACAAACCTTGCCAGAAAGGAAAACTTCAAGGAATCTGTGTTTAGGTCCTGAGTGTTGAACCACATTGACTTCTGGGCCATGGAGCTCCACATGCCGAGCAAAAAGCAGTAAGAGAGAGAATGAGAAAAGCTGAACTGGAAATGCCAGGGGATGGCTCATAAATAATGGAAATGCATCAGCAGCACCGAACAGGAGGGGGGTGGGAGATGATGGCAGAGGGGGGATGGTGAAGAGTGGCCAACGAGGAGAGTGGCTCTCACAGGGCACTTGCTGGGAGGCCACTTGGGTCACATGCGTTCTCATTGGGCTGTAGAAAAGTTGACAAAGAATGTCAGGGCGTGAAAAAGTCAAAAAAGCCTCTTTAATTAACACCTCTTCACCGAGTGACACAAGAAGCCACCTCCCCTCGCCACGCCTCCTTTGCCACCCGCTCCATAGAGCATCTCCTACCTGAGCTGTCGAAAACAGCCTGCAGTGAGAGGTGCTTGTCACCATGCCTAAGTGCATCACTGACAGGGTCAAGAGATCCAGCTCACCACCTCGAGGAGTGAATGGGTAACAAACTGACAGGGGCTTCCTGCAGCAGGCAACATGGGGAAAGAGTCAGGAAAAGGTAAAACTGATCTCCAGGATGAAATCCTCCCAAAGTAGCCCCACAGAACTGCTGGCTCTCTTCCATCTTGCATGCTAATGCAGAAACATGAGTTTCTCAGGCAGGGATGAAAGGAAAACACGTCTCATATCACACAGGACCTCTGGGATTGAGATGGGGGTAGGAGGATTTGAGGCAAGAAAGAAGATTTTTCTTCTCCTTTCCATTCCCATTAGCACTGAGCACCACACAGGAAGAAAGAGGTTTGATGGCTGAAGAGCCAGCTTCTCTCCCTAGTTTTGCTGATGGAGATACAGGCCTAGGGGAAATATCCCACCAGGCAACACGCCAGTGGGATGGAGTACCTCAGGCAGGTTAAAGAGATTTATACATTTTGTTTCAGTTTGCATTGGTTAGAGACAGAATTGGAGACTGCACTGAGTCTGTAAAGAAATGAAACCTTTCTGAAAGGTGAATTTGAATTCAGCTTTTGATGAAAGTTTTGCAGTCTGCATTGGATTAGATTGTCATGGTTCTCCCTCCTGGGACACCCTGTGGATTTACCTCCTGGGCTCAGGAGGCAGCGAGTGGATGTCTGCTTTGCAGTAAAAGTCTGCTTTGCCCTCACTTTAAGACTTGTAGCTCTGCATTAAAACACAAAACTGAGAGAGAGAAATCCCTTGCTTTAGAAATGCAGTTTAGTGGGAAAGGCTGCCCAGACAGCTCCTCCTGACCTGAAACACTTGAGTGGCTCCACCTAGGAGATGGTTCAGTGAGGAGGAGGCAGAGTTAAAAGAGCAGGGCTCAGGTCCTGCCCTGCAACCGATGCCCTGGGTGACATTTTGCAAATTACTTTGGCCAACTGCAGTGTTTGATGTTCCCCAGCTGGTGTAACCAGGGCTGGTTATACCCCACTGGCTGTAAGTTCAACTGGTCATAACCCCAGGTGGTTGCAAGCAGGGTAGAGCTTCTTAGACGAGGCATATTACAGACTGTGGTACTTCAGCAATCGAACAGACATGTGCTGGACAGCGGAAATGCCATTCTGCGTCAGTTTTGGGCTTAATAAATGCAGCAGCGATACTGGGCTGCAAAGCCTACAACCAAACAAAAGCTGTAAAACATAATAGCATGGGGATACAACATGGCTTTTTTTTCCATCTCAGACAAGATGAACTTCTGCAGGGTCCCCTCTCTGACACAGACACCTCTTTGTTGCAAAGGTGGACAGGAAGCAACTCACACTTTGTGAGCTCGAGGCTTCATTAAAAACATTTCCCCCTTTTATCACCACCTGTGAAAGCAAAATGTTTTTAATTTTGTGCTGTGAAAAGCTATAATCTGAAAAAAATGTTGCGAGCCAACAACCAAAAGTCTTTTTCCTTGAAAGTAAACCTTCTTTTTTTCCATGTATCAATTATTGTGGCTAAACATCCTTTGATCTATGGGATTAATCTGTTTCTCCAGGACTACTGGTACACAATGAGCTGGCCAGCTAGAAATCTTCCTCACATCGGTGATTAGCCTTTATTGTTGTGACACACTCAGTGCACCATGACTTTCTGAGCAGCAAAAATGGCAACAAATTTCATTTGATTGGTCCTTTTGCATTTGAGGAGCAGCTCCTCTGTGGCCAAACACAGCCATCAGGTCTCCCCAAAGCCTCTGCTCCTCCAGCAGTCCACACGGGGCTGTGTCTGCTATCTTGAAGACATTGAGCATCCCAGGCTGGAAGGCTGCACTCCACAGTGCAAGTGAGGGATGCACGAACAGGTGTGGATGACAGAGGATATTTAATGCTGCATGGCTTAATCTGGAAAGGTTTCAGCAGAATGGGGGGAGGGTTTGAAGTCTGGATAACCCTCCCTATGGTGTGCAATTTAAAAAAGCACGATCTCCTTGGTTCTTCCCGGGAGCAATTTGATCTACAAGCACTTCAAGGGAGAGAGATTCCCGATATCAAAGGGTTCTTTAATCCAGCAGAAAAGGGCATTTATGAGAACCAGCTGCCAGCAGCTGAGGCAGGATAAATTCAGACTGAAAATCAAGGTGCACTTTTCCAACTGTGAAAGTAATTAATCTGTAGGGCACATTATGTAGAAGGGCAACGGCAGCTCATTCTCCAGCAGCCCTGAAATCAGGACCAGATGTTTTCCTGGAAGAGATGATA